GAACTGTGGGTGTGTATTTTCCTTTATGAATCCCAAATACAGTCTTCTCTTCTGGAGACATTTACTGTGTGCCTCATCTATAATGGGCCACTGCCCACTTACTGAAGTGTGTCCTGCCATTAGTGGTTTTGTCCTGTAAAGCATAATTGAATGTACTTTATTGAAGTCTTGTGGGGAAACACATCTCAGTCCAGTTATCTGTGAAGGGCTTGGGCATACTAGCTCCTACTCTGCTGAAACTTGCATCTCTGTAAAGTTTGGCATGTTTTCTTTTTTTTCACATTCAAGAAAATGTCTTCGTTCTGTGCAGGTAATCATGGAATTTTCTTCCACTTTAATTATCTACATGGATCACATGTTGATGTATTGTATTACGTGGTATATAAATTGAAAACATCCTTATGTAGATATAGTGATTCATTATAAACATTTCTCTTTTTAATGTTAAAATGTGTGCTGACCATGTACAAACTATAGAAAAGGACCTTTTCCGTTTAGAAAATCTTGATATACAATTGTAACTTATAATTGAAAAAAAAACTGAATAATTATACAAGCAAGACATGGGATTCTTGTTACCTTTAAGTTTATTTTCAAAACATTCTTGAATTATTTTGCTAGTAACAAAAGCATTGAGTTTGACAGTTTAAGGAGTACACAGCTTGTTTTCTAAAAGAGAAAGGAATGTGTGTGCTAGACAGGGCAGCTCCTCGAAGCTGTGTTTTTCAATTCCTGTTTGCTGCATTGCTGTGTTTACATTAAATCACTTATAGAATAACACGAACTTGAGGAAATAGATTATATTTATTTTCCAACTGTTGTATTATAGTTCAAGTTAGCTAGAATCAAACACTTGCAGATTATCTTTATATGCTTTTTGTTACTGAAGATGAGGATTCTATGGAAATAATTGACCCTTTTCTCAAATTTTGCACCTTCAGAGGCATGGAACGGCTCCACCTCCGATGAAGCTGCCTCCTCCTTACAAAGCTCCTTCTGTGGACAGTGATGAAAGTGAAGAAGAATATGCCCTGACTGACAGTGAGTTCCTTTCTGTTATTTAAGATTGATGTAGGATTTATTAAATTATGCTGCCATGACTGTTGTAAGTCACAAATATAGGACTATGGGTTCTTTAAAACTGTACATGAGCATATGTTAAAAATAAAGTTGTTATCTTCAAAGCTCCTGTGGCTTTTATTTCCTAAGCTTTTGTATTTGGAATTAACAAAGCATATTGAAGAATGCTATGTTGTACAGTGTTTTAATTTTACTAATTTGTTGTATTTACAAAATTGCTAAGCCCTTAGACTTGGGGTTAACCCATTATAATCTTGGTTTGGGCGTAAGTGCCAGTTCTTGATTATGTACTTTACAAAGAATGTTGGTAGTGTTACTGTGAAACCACAGGAGAACCACATCATACTGAGTCCTTTGGAATTCATTCCATCATTTCTTTTACACTAGCTGAATACAGGTATACAGACCTTTACTGGAGGCTCTGCTTAAAAGAATCCAGAGTCCTTTTATCCATGTACAATATGCACAGTTAAGCCTTGCTGTCTATGGGATCGCTCCTGAGGGATAATGGAAGTAGTTTGAAAAGACTATACAATGGTGACAATGACTATATAATTTGTAAATGTATAAAAAGCCACTGATGGGCATTTGACATGGGTGAATGTTATATTATTGCATGTTTATGTGTATACATCTTTTTATTTTTTCTGTCTTTTTTGAGACAGGGTCTCCCTACAGCCCCAGCTGGCCTGGGACTAACTTTGTAGTGTAGACTGGCCTCGATCTCACAGAGATCTGCCTGCCTCTGCCTCTGCCTGGCCTTGTATACATCTTTCTTTAAAAAAAATTTCCCTACCACAATACAGAAAAGAATTTTGATATAGAAATCGGAAGAATTAAAACCTGATTCCAGCATGTGTTAGACTATGACCTGCACTATGGCCTCTTCTCCTGGGAGAGTGGTCCCTCCATGGGGTTGTCATGTGGACTGAGGTGCAGCAGCAGGCCTTCAGCCCGCCATGTCTTGGAGAGTCTCCAAAAGGTGCTGCAGCTCCTGTTGCTGTTGGTGATTAGGAGGATAACTTTATAGTTTTCATAAACATGGATAAATAGAAACAAAATATAAAAGTAGAACTGTAATAGTCTAGTTGACTTTAGGAAGGCTTGGTTTGTACTTTGTGACTCTATGGAGCCCCGTGACCTTGCATCACTTTCGTCATTTATTTACTGAAGCATCTTTGAATACTATCTGTAAAAATAGTATCAAGTCAGCTATGAAATGAACAAAGCAGCTCTTCTTTTCTTGATGGAGTCACCAGCCTTGAAGGGAGTATAGAAAGGTGGGGAACAAAGTTCTGTAGTGCCAGGTCGTCCTCTACTTTCCAATGATTTGCTCATGATGGGTGTGAGCTCATGTGTGATAAATACACTATCTTATAGATATTAAGCAACTGCAAGAATGGCAATAAGTTATTTAGCCTAGTCACAACTCATGTGTGCTTGTTAATAAGGGGATGAGATGTCTTACAATACTCTGCTTCATAGGACTGTTTTAAAAGGTGAAAAGGCATTTGAAGAACTTGGTACTACATCTCATAAGTATATGGTTTACTGTGTGCCAGGATTGTTCTGAGGCCTGTACTTGTATTATTAAGTCAGTTGATGGGATTATTTTGTGAGGACTTTCATTATACGAGCAAGGTAACTAGGTCTCAGAGAAATTAGCAAATGTATCTAGTGTCACACAGCTAATAAACAGTAGGAATGGGGTTCCCACCTATGTTCTATGCAGACCCTGTTCGGTGTCCATCTACCTTTGCTGTTAAATGCTTAAAATGCATTCCCATAGCAGACAAAAGTACAAAGTGATGTAAAGTTCTCATTTGTAGAGTTTTTATGCCATAAGATTTGCAGAACAGCAGCATCTTCCCTAAGGTTGCGGTTTCATATATTCATCATGTTCACGCACACATACACATACACACATCAGTGACGTGCAGGAAGGATACCAGTTTAGGTTGAATGTAGAAAGACTCGTAATATCCTTTAACCATAGGAATTTTCATGTCATAGCTTCTCCAGCAAACCCATTTCCCTGTATGTCTCCTCTTCATTTATTTTATCTGTGATTTTTTTTCCCTCCTCAATGTGTTTTCCCTTCTCATATCCCACTGATTTCACTGCTAACCTTCTCCTTGAACTGCACCAGGCACTTCTCAGCTCACGTTTAGCAGGCCTTCAGCCTCTGGCCTCCTGTGTTGCCTTAGGAACAGCTCCTGAGGACTTCTCTTGTTCATTTAATATTTTCTCAGCTGCCCCATACTAAAAGTTGATCAAGTTACTGTTTATCTGATTCTTACTGCCACAAGCCTAGGTTTTTCTTTTTACGTATTTTATGAAATATGATTCCATAGCTCTCCTAAGGTCAGTAGATGAAATGTATGGCTGGCTGGAATTCAACTTTGGACCCACAAGGAAGCATTGATTTTTAAGAGAGATCGCAGACATGAGATACACGTGGCTATAAGCTCATTTAGATGAATTTGTTAGTTGACTAGTTATGAAGTTCATCTAGGCAAGAAGGTTTGTTGAGTAAATGTTATAGGTGGGTGGATACAATTCTATGTGTTGGGAACATGGCAGGGAATGTTCCTTTTATTAGATAATATTCTAGTGGGAGGAGAAAGTATAAATAAGAAGAGAGCTTAAGTAGTGTGCTGGATAGCTTTAGTGTCAACTTGACACACCTGGATTGAGGGAGCCTCAATTGGGGAATCGTCTCTATTGGACTGGCCTGTGGCCATGTCTGAGGGGTTAATGAGGCCGAGTGTGTGGCCATGAAGAAAACACTCTGGTAAGCTCATTCCTATTGAAGTGTATTTCCTTCCTGGTTCTCAGATGGGAGCTGCCCCTGTGCTGGATAGCTTTAGTGTCAACTTGACACACCTGGATTGAGGGAGCCTCAGTTGTGGAATTACCTCTATTGGACTGGCCTGTGGCCATGTCTGAGGGGTATCTTCTTGATGGGTGATATGGGAGGGCCCAGCTTAAGGGCTTAAGAACATTAGCTGCTCTTGCAGAAGACCGGGGTTCAATTCCCAGCATCCACGTGGTAGCTAACAATTGTCTGTTTCTCCAGTTCCAGGGGGATCTGATGCCCTCTTCTAACCTCTGTGGGCTTTGCACAACACAGGTGCATTTACATGTATGCATGCAATACGTTCATACACAGAAATATAATGATTGAAAAAAAGAATAATGAGGCTGGAAAGATAACTCAACAGTTAAGAACAAATCTGCTCTTGGAGAGGACCGGAATTCAGTTTCCAGCACCCACATTTAGTGGCTCACAACAACTTGTAACCTCAGCCCCAGGGAAATAGGATGCCTCTGGTTTCTGAAGGCACCTGCAGTCACACGTACATGCCTACACAGAATGAAAAATAAACTTTAAAAAAAAGAAGAATATGGAGATACCATCTGTTTGATGATCCAGCAAAGGCACCTTCCATGAGCTCATAGGACAGAAGTGCTTCAGAAAGGCTTCTGTTACTCAGGCCTGGTGGTTAACTATAGCATGCTACTGAGGAGGTGAGAATGCTGGAGACAGAGGCAACCAAAGAATTTGGCCCTGAGTAACTGATGAGGAAGAAGAAAAAGAGGCTGCTTAAAAACATAACCATAGTAAGTGTGGCTCACATTGTTCAGAGAATTAAATACTAGAGGCAGTACCCACAGTATGGTATTTGAGGCATTGGATTTTAGATTGCTTATCTTACCTGTTGGCCATATTTCATGACACACTTGTAGCCAGTTATAAGAAAGCTTATAATGAGCAACCGAGCCAAAGTTGCTTGAATTTTAATAAAATTTGTGAAAGAAGAATTCAGCAGTGTGCAGTATCAGTGCTAGCTCTTGACAAAACTATTAGAGATTCTAGGATTTACCCATGACATGCATTGCTGGTGTGAAATTTTTAATTATTTGGGGATTCCTAGTTACCTTTAACTGTTAACTTGATGGAGTCACCTGAGAAAGGAGTCTCACCTAGTGGATTGCCCAAATCTGATTGCCCTGTGGGTATGTCTGTGGGGAGTTGTCTTGATTATTAAATGATGTAGGAGGGCCCATCCTACTGTGGGCTGTACCATTCCTTGGGCAGATAGTCCTGAACTATATAATAAAGCTAGCTAAACATGAGCTTTCAAGTGCGTCAGCAAGCAGCATTCCTCGATGGTTTCTGCTTCAGGTTTCTTCATGAATGCCTGCTCTGACTTCTGTCAGTGTTGGACTGTGACCTGGAAATGTCAGTCAAATAAATCCTTCCCTCTCCTAAATTGCTTTTGGTTATGGTGTTGGTCATAGCAACAAAGATCAAACTGGAATATGGGAGGAATCGCCTTCAGTACCTACACTGAAAAACATCTTGCTTTGTTGGGGGTTCAGGCTCACATAGTACATGGGGACCTCCCTCAGGCCACTATTCTGTGGTGACTTCTGAGCCTGTTCTAGCCTCCATTCTTCTCTGGTCTCCCATTCAGTTTTTCATTTGACTATGGGAAAGATGCCCTGAGTTTTTGCTGCTAACCATTTAAATCCTTCACCAAAATGAAACTTTGGGTCTTCCCCAAAGCTGACTTTTTACTTTCTATTCTTGGTTTTGCTTTCAGCCTTTACCCCTCTCCCCTCCCTGGCATGAAGCTCCTCTTAGTTGTCATCTCGCTTCTTGACAGCCATGCAAGCGCATCTTTATTCCCAGTCTCACATTTGTAGTTTCCTCACATTTTCATTGCCATAGTTGTGGCGAAGGTGCAGTGATAGCCAGAGTGCATGGAGAGCAGGGTGTGTGCCCTGCATTTCCTGTAAAGCCTCACACGTATTCTTGTTTGAGATTTAGAAGCAGCTTTGGAGGCTATTGCACCTTCTGCTGATTTCAGCTTGACATCACATTTAGAAAGCCTTACCTGCCTGCTCAATCCAGTCCACCTCCCCATGTTTTTCTGTTTTTATAGCACTTAACA